GTGGGGGCTTAGCAGCTGCTCTCCTCCTCACCCCCGGCGCTCGGAGGAGCTCCCTCCCAGCCTCTTGGTATTTTATCCGTTTTTAAGGTACCTGTAAGGCCACAGGGCGTCTTCTCTGTAACAAGAGGTGTCCTCCGGTATTCTACCGGAATAAGGGAGACAAGGTTTGGCTTGTCTTGCCCGTTTTTCAGGCCCTTGCCTCGGAGTGTCGCGGCGTTGCAGCGTGCAGGTTTTGGGTTAGTACGTTTTAGCCGCGCGGAGCGTTTCTGTTCTTTTTAATTAATTGGCAGGCATTGTGTTTTGAGCCACTCAGTATGGTTTTTTTTTTTAAAAAATACGCATTTAGGAGGCAGCCTACATCTTGAAGGAACAGAAGGTGTTTTAAAACCAGATTTTAAGTCTCCTGCTGCACGGTCTGAACGCTTCCCAGGTACATATGCCATCCTAGGGGTTAATCCAGGTTCTGTTTTTTCGAAACACTGTATTCAGAAAGTATTAGATTTTGTAATTAGCCTGCAAAGATCCTAAATAACCCAAACCACAAGGGACTCACTCACTATATGCCTAGCTCATTTAATACTAAGGTAAGCGACTTCTGGAGGCCCTCAACGTTTATTGCTATATGTCTAGATCTTTTGACACCAAAGGTAGCAGACTTGTGGAGTGGGGATGTCCATCCAGTTGGTTTCTTCAGCAGGGTGGGTCTGCTCCCTTCTTGGAGGGAGGCAAGCAGAAAGTTTTAATTTGGCCCTGCGTCCTTCTCTGCAGGGAGAAGTTAAAACTTTAAGTAAAAAAGCAGCGTTTTGTCTCCAGTCCCACTGCTGCAGAGTTAACACATGGTATAAAGACGAAGATCTCATGATAAACAGAAGTGTGTTACCTACAGTATGCATTCAATATTACGGATATTTACATATAGTATGTGTGGTGTAGAGAGGGTGAAGAAAATGAGTGCAGAAATACAGAAAATAAGTCATAAAGGCCTGGATATATGATAATTTTCACCGTGTTAGAGAAGTAGTGGAGGTAGATGTGTGCTGGCTACTATTTCCAGTTAAATGCATTTTGCCATGCAGCCCATATATCCTGCCTCTGAGACGAGAGATTTTTTACAGTTCTGTAAGTCTTTCTTCCAGTGCTTACTCCTGATCCAGAGCCACTAAGCCTTTGATGGTGCTTACAACTGTACTTACCCTCCCAGTATCTTCTGCTACTCTTCAGGGGCAATGTGGCAGTCAGTAATAGTTTTCACTTCCAGAAGACTGTAACAACAGGAGAGTTCATAAAAGTGTTCAAAGATGCTGTTAAAATTTTCTTAATCAAATAGCTTTTTCAATAAAAATGGGTGCTTCCACACAGAAATGCAGGATGTGCAATGGGATTGCCAAACACCTGAAGAAATGCCATCAGAAAAATAAGGAAAAAACAAGCTTTCCAGATGCCAAACCTTTAATACTTCAGTTTGACACATTTCTGATTGTTTATGTTATATATTAGATGTTATATTCACACAGCTTGATTACACCAGACTACAAAGAGCAAAGAAGGAACACTGGTACCTGGCAAGAAAGGAGACTTCCTATCTTTCCCACCAATGCAGCCCGTGCCAGCCATGCTGTATATCTGTTGCAAAAGGTAACTGCATTTGGATTACTCTTGGGGTGTTTTGACAGTACTTGAAACATTGCAGGTGTTTTCAGACACTGAAGGAGAGAGTTTCTTTGTCCAGAGGGGCTGGCAGTCTATCGTGCCAGTCTCTCAAGGATTTCCTTATAGGCAGGACCACGTGCCAGTGTGGATCTCTGATGAAATGAATATGAAGTCAATGACAATGAATGGGGGATTTCTAACATAGCCTTTAGGTATTTGCTGTATAGGAATATCAGTTGTACAGAGAGGTGCTTGTGTGTCAAGATAGAGATCAGGGTTTAGCAGACTAAATTCTTCTGTGGGCAGCAGCTGTGGCTTATGCCTTTCTAAGCCTTTAAAACTGCATTGAACAAATTGAATAAAAATGTCTTCAGAGGGACTATTCTGCAATGACAGGAAATAAACTAGATGACCTAATAGGTTTTTTCCCATAATTCTTTGTTGGAACTTTTATTTTGTGAAAAAGCAAAATTGAAGCCATTGGCTAAACTGACACTTTAATCAGACAATCTATTTAACTCGATTCACCAGGTGGTGTAGAGTAACTTTCATCAGTCCCTGCCACTCCAGCAGAGCTTGTGAACCTGCTGAAATGCATATTTCTCACAATGTTCTGAAAAATGCAGAAGTTTCCTTTTATTTTCTTGTTTTCTTGCTGATAGGTTAATTTTCTCCTAACATGATTTATTTTACGAGTGACCAAACTAATAAAGGTGGTTTATACACTAACTGACAGAAGTAGGAGGAAATTGTTTAAAATACTCCATGGAAAATTTGATGATGTTCAGCCCTAAAAGTTAGAAAAATGCCAGCCATCTTTAACAGAATTTCTGCGAGGCCTTCTAAGGACAAGTCTTTTTGTGGAGATTGGCAGGAAATTTTAGGAAGCCCTCATCCTATATAAATATTGGCTGCACATTTAATAATTACATTTTTATGTGGTGAAGTAAGAGAATATTATTCATGAAGGAACTTTCTATTAAGGGAGTAACATGATTTCTCTGGCCAGTGTAAAGGTAAGTATTGTTAGCTAAGGCAAGACCAAGATTTAAAGGTTGGTAAATGTTTGATACCATAAATTGCAACTATGCACAGTTTGTGTTTTACCAGTTAAGTACTATATTTAGGCAGGTCAAAATTTCTAGGAAACTTGCAGATAGCTCCAGAGAGGCATGGACAAGCTACTTTTCTTCTGCCTCACTTTTCTGAAGAAGATGTGGCTCTTCTGGTCCTGCTAGCCTAGCTAGGGTCTGATCCTACAATTATTTGTGTGCTGGCAGATGGAGGAATCTGCAGATAATGCAACACAATGCTCAGAAAAGGAGCCCTGAAATGTATCAACCACTTGCTAAAATTTGAAATCCTATCTACAGTCTAAAATACGAATACAAGACAAGATTGGGAGCTTAAAATATCATTACTTACTGAAATAGTGCAAAAATTAATAAGATCTTGTCATTTAGCAATAAAAGGAGAAGTTACAATAATCTTGAGAAGTTGTAGGAAATCAAGTGCAAACAGAGGATCTTTCTGACCATTACTGTTTCCCCCCTTGTACAGCTTTGTACAATCATATGCATTATTATATTGATAAACACTTATAAATTATTTCAAGACAATTTTGGGGTCAGGACTCTGTTCTGGCTTTGGCTGGGATAGAGTTACAAGTTCTTCATAGTAGCTTGTATGGGGCTATGTTGAATTTGGGCTGAAAACTGTGTTGGTAACATACTGATGTTTTAGTTATTGCTGAGCAGTGCTTACACAGTGTCAAGGCCTTTTCTGGTCCTCATCTTGTTCATGTAAATTATTCCATGTTTTTTTACATTCAGGAAGCAGACAGGCACATTGTGTGGTTTAAACAAAGCTGAGGATCTTGGCAGACAATCACTGAAGTAAGCTCCCTCTGGAACGCTATGCCTCAAAGCGATAGTATGGTCTTTGGATATATAAACATGGGGTTATCAAGTACAAGATGAGAAGTTACACTTTTTCTGTCTTTCAGGGTAAATACTTTTAGAATATTGTATTCAGCTACAGTGTCCTCAGTCTAAGATAAGTTGCACACAGCTCAAAACACTGTTGCGAGAATTATTAAAGGTTTGGAAAAATACTTCTTAGTACGAGTCTCCAGAGATCAATTTCTTCACTTTATTGACTAGAAGTTTGTGTGTTTGACATAAACATAATCTCTAAGTAACTTGCTTTATAAAACAACATTTTCAGCACACAATAAAATTATGCATAACAGTGCCACCCATCAATGTTTATTGATGTATGGCAAGTTTGAAGCTGAAACTAGGCAGAATCAGACTACTGCACAAAATTTTAGCAGTGAAAATAATTAACAACTGGAACAACTTTCTAAAGGTTAATTTTCTAAAACATGGGATCCGCTTTGTATAATAATTAAGTGCAGCCTTATCTTAGACAAGCTCTTAGCTGTTTTAACTGAGAAGAGCCAAAAGCAGGTGTTTACTATAATTCCTCTCACATTTCTAATGTATGGATGCACAGCATTTCTTCAGATGAGTCCTGGAGTTTTTCACACTAAATACAATGGAAAACTTTGCCCTTTGTCTTCCAATATCTGTGTTCCACTTAAAGAAGATAAAAGATCAGTACATCCTTTGAGTTAAAAAAAAATATTTTGTTAATAAGTTGGGTAAGGTGAGAGGGCTGAATTGTTCCCGTTAATGAACTGC